TGATTAGCTCTAGTAATTTTCTGGTAGAGTCTTTAGGGTTTTCTATGTAGAGGATCATGTCATCTGCAAACAGAGAGAGTTTCACTTCTTCTTTTCCTATCTGGATTCCTTTTACTTCTTTTTCTGCCCTGATTGCTGTGGCCAACACTTCCAAAACTAAGTGGCCACCTTTTATGGTTAAAACTGCTTTGCCAAATATTTACAAAACCCGAAAATCTCAGGGCTAGTATATACCTTAGAGGACACATAACCAAATTTTGACTTATACTTAATTAGTTTAGAGCAACCATATTCAAAACTCATCAAAACATGTGCTCTAAGTTGTCCAATCTTGAATAACTCACCACCATGGAATGTATTTTACTCATGCAACTCTGTACCATTCTGAATGTTAAAAATTGGATTTTTCTTGCCCATCTTCATTGATCCTTGTTTTCATCCTTGGTAATCAAAGAACCCTTCATCCCTCTATCACATTTTTATTCTTCATTATTAGAAGAGAGCTCTTATGTCTCTTCTGAATCATCTCATCTCTAGAGCAAGCATATCTGATTTTTTGATGATTCCTCAGTTTTAAATCTTTTCACTATTGTTGCCACTTTTAAAAAAAAATTATTTTTATTTTTATTTATAGTTGACTTACAAAGTTGTGTTATTTTTCAGCTGTACAAAGTGATTCAGTTACAAGTAAATATACTTTTTTCTTTTTATTATATTCCATTATAGATTAATACAAGATTTTGAGTATAGCTCCCTGTGCTATAAAGTAGGTCCCTGTTGGTTATCTATTTTAATATAATAATGTATTTTAATCCAAAATCCTAATTTTCCCCTCATTTTACTTTTAGTAACCATAAATTTGTTTTCTATGTCTGTGTGTCTATTTCTGTTTTGTAAATAAGTTCATTTGTATCATTTTTTAAAGATTTCACACATAAGCAATACCATATGAGATCCTTCTCTGACTTACTTCACTTAATATGATAATTTCTAGGTCCATCTATGTTGCTGCAAAGGCATTATCTTGTTCTTTTTCTATGGCTGAATAATTCTGCATTGTATATATGTATCACATCTTTATCCATTCCTCTGTCAATGGACATTTGACTTGCTTGCATGTCTTTGCTATTGTAAATAGTGCTTTAATGAACATTGGGGTGCATGTACCTTGAAGTTCAGTTTTCTCTGGATATATGCCCAGGAGTGGGATTGCTGGATCATATGGTAGTTCCATTTTTAGTTTTCTCTGGATATATGCCCAGGAGAGGGATCCCTAGATAATATGGTAGTTCCATTTTTAGTCTTATAAGGAACCTTCAGACCATTCTCCATAGTGGCTGTACCAGTTTACATTCCCACCAACAGTGTAGGAGGGTTCCTTTTTCTCTGCATCCTTTCCAGCATTTATCGCTTGTAGATTTTTTGATGATGGCTATTCTGATCAGTGTGAGGCAATGCCTTATTATAGTTTTGATTTGCATCTCTCTGATAATTACTGATGTTGAGCATCCTTTTATGTGCTTCTCTGGCATCTGTATGTCTTCTTTGTGGAAACTGTTATTTAGATTTTTGCCCATGTTTTGGTTGGGTTGTTTATTTGACATAGAGCTGCATGAGCTGTTCATATATTTTAGAGATAACGCCCTTGTTGGTCACTTCATTTGCAAATAGTTTCTCCCATTCAGTGGGTTGTCCTTTTGTTTTGCTTATGGTTTATTCTGCTGTGCAGAAGCTTTTAAGTTTAACTAGGTCTCATTTGTTCTAGTTCTATGAAAAATGCCATTTGTAATTTGATAGGGATATCATTAAATCTGTAGATTGTTTTGTGGAGTATAATCATTTTCACAATATTGATTCTTCCAATACAAGAACATGAAATACCTGAGTCATCATCAATTTCTTTCATTAACATTTTACAGTTTTCAGATTACAGGTCTTTCGTCTCCTTAGGAAGGTTTATTCCTAGATAGTTTATTTTTTAGTTCAGTTCAGTTCAGTCGCTCAGTCGTGTCCAACTCTTTGCAACCCCATGGACTGCAGCATGCCAGGCTTCCTTGTCCATCACCAACTCCTGGAGNTATGTTGGGTGCATAGATATTTACAATTGTTATGTCTTCCTCTTGGACTGATTGATTGATCATTATGTAGTGTCCTTCCTTATGTTTTGTAATCTTCTTTATGG